GCATCTACCCTGTGAGTCTGATAAGCTCAAATATGTAATGGCTTCTTCTTTGTTCCATGCTACACCCTTCCACCAAGTTCCATACAAATCGACCGGTAATTTTTCCGTAATGCGACAACAAACAGGAGAACAGACAGACAAACTGCACAGAAAACATTGACTCCTTGGCTGAGGTAATTAAGGCTGAGTGGTCTACCGTCATTTCCCATTAGTCTTCCCCATGTAAGACGCCCAACACAGTGGCCCGGATATTGCCTATCTGTGCATCCATAAATATTTGATTGAAAACCCAGGTATCGTTAAGCTAAGTGTTCTTCTCTGTAAATAACCGTCCTGTAAATAACCAACTGTTTGATCGACAATAAGCAGGAATGCTCCGACAGTCTGATGCTGCTGACCGACTGTATTTCAGCATCTATTACTAAAGCTAGCTATCCATCAGAAGTAACTGTCAGCAGCATCTTTTCATTTACCACTCTGACAGTCAATATTCATGTTATGTTTGTGCCACAATTCAGTTTTTTGTTTCACAACATGCTACACAAAGCTTTTTTGCGTTTGCTGTTTGTGTGTTTTCCAATTCCTTCCCCCAAAAGAAGTCCATCTTTGGCGTTTTGGTGCTTGATGACGCGGGAGTGTTTAGTCTAGCATCTTAAAATGTAGCCAGCTAGCTTCTATAGGCTAAAGCAACAAACAGCCAACAAACTATTGCTGCGGAAATTTCGCAGTTACTAAACCTCTGGCTTTATTCAGCTTCAAAAACGACACGTCACATTTTACATCTCTATTCTATAATACCATCTTTGTCTATCAAGTTGTCCTTTCCTTTCATATCATTGTTTTTCATATTACCACTACAATATCCGAGCAATATCCGAATATTCGGTGGTTGGCCTACTATTCGGTTTTCAATTTCGTTATTCGGATTTTTCTAAATGTATGCTATCAATAAAGGCAAATTGCCACATTCTTATACTATATTTATACTTTTTAATTGTACTGTTAAAATGCGGAAATATATACAATCTCAGCTTGGGCGCCTGACATCGCTTTCACACGTCACGCTTCACTTCGCTTCACACACCTGAAAACAAAATGCCGAAGACTTCAGCTGTGTGGGACCGTTTTAAATTGGACGACGATGAGACGAAGGCAGTGTGCCAAATATGCAATATGAAACTGGCCTACCACGGTGGCTCAACAACTATGAAAAGTCACCTGAATGCTGGAAGTAGTAGCTTAGCTTAGCTGTTGTCCAGTTGCCATGATGAAGCTGCTTCATCCGCCGTTTAAACAGTAACGTTACACATGATAAAAATATGTATATATATATATCCGGAGCCCGAAAAATGGTATTCGGGACAGCCCTAATTACCACCTTTATTAATGGTGCACCTAAATGCTGTATTGTATGTTGTATGTATTATCATGGGGGAATACAAAGAAACCTAACCCCACGTTTTATTCAGATTCACTGAAACATGCTAGCTCACTAGTGGGCTTACTCATAGATACATACATGTAATCCAGGGGTGTCAAACTCAAGGCCCGGGGGCCAAATCCGGCCCGCGACTTCATTTTATGTGGCCCCACAAGAGCTTGCAAAGAATATAATATGTTTATTATACGGTTACATGCTACTTTACAGAAGCACGTTGCCCATAAACGACATGTCCCACAATGCATCTCAAATTTGACTTTTTCTCAGAATTTGACTTTTTTTGTCCAAATATGCCTTTTTTCTTAGAATTAGCCTTTTTCTCATAAATAGATTTTTTTTTCAAAATGTCACTTCTCTTTTTCAAAATGTCACAATCAATGTTTTTCCAGAATGTGGCTTTTCTTTTAAAATCATATTGTGACATTCTTACTGAAGAGACTTGCAATTATTTGCTCTCGACTTCTGCTTTCAGACGTAGTTAATTATGAAGTTATATTAATTAATGATATAGTCTTAAAGTTACAACCGGCCCTTTGAGTGCAACCATAATGCTGATGTGGCCCGTGATGAAATTGAGTTTGACACCCCTGATGTAATCTGTTACCTTTTTGAAGTTAACGTTTTATTTATAAACGGTCCTAGTTTAAAAATGAATACGACAAATAAAATTAATGTGTGTGGTTGTGAGGCTATTTTGTTTATACTAAATGCTGTGCTTTTATTTATCTTTGAATGTGTGAATATGTATATATGTGTCTGTTGATTATGTATGTGTATATACATATTTTTATATTTGTATTTTTGTATTCCTCTGGATTGTGGGAAACAGTATTTCGATCTCTATGTCTGTACACACAAACTGAAAGATAGACAATACAGTTGACTTTGACTTAACTTATAATAGTTCATTATGACTCATTGACAAACCTAAATGTACTGCTTTTGTTATTAGTTACACTTGTGATTTTCCTGTAATGACATCCCAAAATGTTCATTGTTAGAAGGCTTTATTGGCAGATCCCCTTTGCGTTGCTATTGGGTTGGTTGGATTTGTATTTCAAACATCTGAAGACATGGTTGAGTTTGAGTGTTTCTGTTCAAAAGGAAAACTCAACCACCTTAGAAAAGTGTGGTTGATACTGCATGTTGTTCTACTCATTGAAATTATCTTCTGAATATATCACAAACATATTTGCAGGGAGTAAACAGTAGCTCCGGCAATTTAACACCTCAAACTGGAGCAGATTACAAAACAGATGGTCCTCTCTCACCCTACTACTGTGATGAAAGATCCCTAAAAACACCCAGAGGAAATTCAACATAAAGGTCTTCTCTGATAATATCCTGTTTTTAATAAAAGCTTGTCTTCAGTTCAGGTAACTTAAGGTCTCGGTCACTATTTGACATTTTACAGGTAGTCCAAGATTCATCTCCTTTATAGGGTTTGACGGATGGACGAATGTATGTTTTTGGGTCTTTTAGTCGTGTTATTTTACTAATATAATGGTGCATCCTCGTTATAGAAATGCACATATAAGGTTATAAGAGAATGGGCTGCTGATCAAAGGAATGCAAGAAGCCCTATCATAAGCATTTTAAGCATCAAGACTCGATTGTGGTTCTTGTGTCTCTTTGTGGTCCTTTTTAGTGTCTTTGTAGACGTTTTCTCTCTGTTTGCACTTGTTTTACGTTTCCTTTTAGTGGTTTTGAGTCTCTTTCTGGTTCGTATGTGTCTCTTTAAATTACATTTTGTACACTGGAAAAAATGCTGTCTCAAAATCAAGTAAAAGAATAATGAAACGAGGTGTTTTCGCTTGTAACAAGTAAAGAAATCTGCCTATAGAACAAGTGAAAATTTGCTTGGTTAGATTTCTTGAAATTAGACGGGATATTTAGATAAATCAGATCTTAATCAGCTGGGAAACTTATGTTGAACTATATCTTAACAGGATCAGTAAATGTGATTACAAAATATTTTCATTTCATTTAATCGTTTATTTGAACCGGGACATTAATGAACATTTTAAACAAAATAATGCTTTTAAATGTAAATGAGCCGGATTTTAGCTTTGAGCTAGTTTCCATCCGTAGTCCCGTCCATTGTCCCGTCACATACAACATGTATGAACAAGTTAGCCTGAAATGCTCAAAGTTTCAGTTTTCTGATGTTAGTTGGTGATTTTCCAATAAGAATTTGTTTCAGTTTTTTAAATCAAGTAAGATGTATTTGTTAAAACAAGATTAACCATCTCTTACAAAAACCACAGCAGCTTAAAGAACTTGTTTCATTTGAGATACAACTCAAAATAAGATGTTTTCAAGAGTCTTGAAGATGCATTGTCTAAAAACAAGACCCTATATCTCACTGCATTGTTACCTCTTCAGTTATTGGGTCTTATATCGAGTGTAAAGACATATTCTGTTAAGCAAATATACTTGGTAGATTAGTTGGTAATCAACCTATGACAAAATTGGACATTGGAGGGCTGACAAACTTTAACATATCGCCCAATGCTACTCCTTTTATCTCTGTTTTGGTCTCCATCACTTCCAGTTATACTAAGCTAGTCACATTAGATCGTTGATTAAAACCTACTGATTGACGCTGCTTTGAGCTTTGAAATTGGTAAGATGATCATTCTTGGTGTGTTTGTTAGCAATACGGTTTGGAAATAATGAATGCTTTCTGAGATGAAAATAGATGTAAATATCTCTCTCACAGGGAGAATCGTGGGATGTGTCGAGTCGCCTTTTTGCCAGTATGTGTAGGTTGACAGGATAGTGGGCTGCTGTAAAAATATTCATGTGTTTCGTCTTATTGAATTTGAGAACATATTGAAAAACTGTCACTTGGTTTAATTGATGAGCTTTTTGTCGCCTTCTTACGAGGCAGTGACAGATTTGTACAGTCGATAATGAATAATGAGCAAAACTCATTCAATTGGTCGGCAACTTTTGGTATCAGTTCAGTTTAATCCTAATTCTGGGAATTGAAAAGAAATATGGGTTCGGGTGACAGTGAAACAGGAATATATGTTGTCTGAGGATGCAAAATGATTGAAAGAGAAGGATGAAAGGAATATAAAAAGGTCAGAAAACTGTCAAAAAAACTATAATTTCACGGGAAGACTAGAGGAATGTGAGAATTTGGTTAGGGATATTGTCAAATATCTGGAACAAACTACACGAAACCTTCCTTTTTGCCGCTACTTTTAATTGAACTATTCACATCTCACACTGCACTGTAACTTTTATTCATGTACCTGAGTTATTCATATTTTATTATCTTTGCTTTTTAATGTTTCTAATGTGTTAATGCTCTGAATGTCTTTCATTTTTGTAAAGCACTTTGAATTGCCTTGTGTTGAAAAGTGCTATATAAATAAACTTGCCTTGCCTAAATCAGCTGCTATGTTTGCTAGTTTCATGTTAGCACATTCAGTAAAACCAAAGTGTCTGAAAATGAATTTGGTCACAGATGCCCTTGAATTGCAAGGAAAAAACGCTCGAAATGGAGTCAGCACTTAACGTCACACTTATCGTCACCATGTTGGCTCACCTTGGCTTTGTTGATGGTGCAGTGCAGTGCATTGTTCTCCTGGTCATACTGCAAACTGAAGTCCAATGTCCCCAATGTAGCTGTAGAGACAGAGAGAGAAAGAAAAGGAAATTAGTGACACACAGAAGCTCACTAGGGATACAAGAAATGCGAAAGTGTCTGCTTGCTTTCATCCTTTGAATGAAAAATCCTGAAATCTCATGGCGTTCTTGGCGTGTGATAATAGCTTCAGAGAAATAATCACTCAACAAATGGACATTTACAAAATTGTTTTGTATTTAATCAATGTGCTTCTGCGTCTCAATCTGTCTCAATTTGTGGGAAACAGACTTGAATGACAAAGCATAAGTGGGCCTGCATAAATTACGAAGATGATCCTTTCTGCAAATATTTTGATTACTATTCGTTTGAGATCCAATTTCATATTGGCTCACTTGAATGAATAATATAGTTTGTGTATACTTATCATTTCTTCATGCATAGTAGCAGGCTTAGTACTGTGGGCTGCATCAGTGAAGTAAATAAGCAGCTAGCAAGTATTTCACACTGAAATAAGTTACAGCAAAACCACTCAAGGGAGAAATTAACTTCGGTTAACTTCGGCTAATTAACAAAAGCAATAACATGTATTGTCTGAATGTATGTCAGTATAAAGCAGAGTTTGCACATAATTAAGATGTAGTATAGCAGCAAACTAAATCAGAAAACAGCCTCCAAGCATTCAGGAAGTCGTTTTGGTAATTCCATTTGCAAATCTTTTCCATCTCTGCAATATAAAAGCATTTCCTTGAGCCACATCCTGAAACATTGGCGACCATGGAGTCTTTGGGTTTAGTATTACACTTTTTATTGCTGCAACCATGTCTGCCTTTTCCACACAGTCTCACAAAAAAAACGTGTAATAGCTACGTCGGTTCACAGGGCAAAACGTAGTACTGTATATTCACAATATTTTGTAAAAAAAAACATGGAGCTCAAATAATCTTCGTAATATCTATCAAACTATGGATCCTACACATCCACTGGACGTAGATTCTAAAAGAACAATATAAACTTCTCGCTAGAAATGTAATCAAAAAGCATTATAACGGACAAACTATCGTACAATTTAGGATTTTCCACTAAAAATAAATCGGGTGTCCGCCATGTTTTTTTTTCTCACTGGGAAAGTTTGCGATCACGTGACATGGAGACCGGTCATTAGAAATGAATAGGACAACAATATTGTACCCCTGTCACGTCTTGAGTGGGTTATTTGTGAATAAACTACGTTTTGCCCTGTGGACCAACGTAGCTATTACACGTTTTGTTGTGAGATATATTACAGGTCTCAGATATATACAAAACCTGTCTCTGATTGGCTGAAACACCAAACAGATCATTGCAGCATTACCCATAATCCCCTCTGTTTCAGCCCTGTTTCCAAAGTGCTGATTCTCTGTCTGTTACTTTAGATGAAAATAAGGAGCCCCTCCCCACGCCCCTCTGAGAGAGATTTGGTTACAAAGAACTCAATGGTGCTCTAGGAGGAGATTCAGGTGATAAGGGGGGGGGGGGGGGGGGGGGGGGGGGGGGGGTACCTTGGTTGCTGATTGGCTAATGGTTACACAAGCCAACACATCGTTATGACATCATAAAGTGGCCAAAATCTGATCAGCTCATTTTCAGACAGGTTTTTATAGAAATGGATCAAAAAGAGAGAGAATCTTTGTTCCTGAAACTTTCAGAGTCTCTTTCCACAGAGGGGATACATGTTGATGAAGAAGAGACATGAAGAAGAGGGGACACATGTTGATGTAGAAGAGACATGAAGAAGAGGGGACACATGTTGATGTAGAAGAGACATGAAGAAGAGGGGACACATGTTGATGAAGAAGAGACATGAAGAAGAGGGGACACATGTTGATGTAGAAGAGACATGAAGAAGAGGGGACACATGTTGATGTAGAAGAGACATGAAGAAGAGGGGACACATGTTGATGTAGAAGAGACATGAAGAAGAGGGGACACATGTTGATGTAGAAGAGACATGAAGAAGAGGGGACACATGTTGATGTAGAAGAGACATGAAGAAGAGGGGACACATGTTGATGTAGAAGAGACATGGAGAAGAGGGAACACATGTTGATGTAGAAGAGACATGAAGAAGAGGGGACACATGTTGATGTAGAAGAGACATGAAGAAGAGGGGACACATGTTGATGTAGAAGAGACATGAAGAAGAGGGGACACATGTTGATGTAGAAGAGACATGGAGAAGAGGGGACACATGTTGATGTAGAAGAGACATGAAGGAGAGGGGACACATGTTGATGTTGAAGAGACATGAAGAAGAGGGGACACATGTTGATGTAGAAGAGACATGAAGAAGAGGGGACACATGTTGATGTAGAAGAGACATGAAGAAGAGGGGACACATGTTGATGTAGAAGAGACATGGAGAAGAGGGGACACATGTTGATGTAGAAGAGACATGAAGAAGAGGGGACACGTGTTGATGTAGAAGAGACATGAAGAAGAGGGGAAACATGTTGATGTAGAAGAGACATGAAGAAGAGGGGACACATGTTGATGTAGAAGAGACATGAAGAAGAGGGGACACATGTTGATGTAGAAGAGACATGAAGAAGAGGGGACACATGTTGATGTAGAAGAGACATGAAGAAGAGGGGACACATGTTGATGTAGAAGAGACATGAAGAAGAGGGGACACATGTTGATGTAGAAGAGACATGAAGAAGAGGGGACACATGTTGATGTAGAAGAGACATGAAAAAGTGTATTTTGTATAATAGGTGGCCTTGAAGTCACAGGCTCCTCAACAGAGCAACATGAATATAGGACATTAAAACAAATAAAAAAAGATAAAATAGTGCTATAGAATTTTTTGAGATGTGCAAGTAAACACATATAAAATAGAAATAGTGCAAGTAGAGTCTATGTACAAGTAAATTGAATATGATATATTAGGTAAATAATTTGCAAGATGCAAACAGATGAAGGTTTATGGATGTTGACATAGAGTATTTTTTTTAAATCGAAATTATAATTTGATTTCCATTTGTCTCCTTAGCAACCTTTTCCCCCGCTTCTTTTAACTCAAAGGCCACTACATCTTACATCGCTGAGTAGTGAACTGAAACAATTCACGGTATGATCTCATCCTTTGTCCTTTCAAAATGCCAAGGGACTCTCATTTCCTGAATTGATGACATGTTGTCAGGATGAAAACATTTCAAAGACCAAAAAACATAAAAAGAGAAACGTGTGGGCTTCCAAAGGCCTCGCCGGTTCTAAAGCATCGCATTGTTGGAACCAAAATAACACCCACTTTACTTGTTGCTTTATTCACACTTTTATATTTACATGGGGAGTGAAAACGACATTGGTTTATTAATTTATAATTGTACTTATGGCTACTGACAGAATCACTTCCTCCATGCTTTACCTCCTAGGTAACTAACTTAAAGGGGACCTATCATGCAAAATGCACTTTTGTACGTCTTGTATACATGAATATGTGTCCCCGGTGTTCCAGGGAACTCACCAAGTGTCAGAAAACACAACCCTCTCTATTTTCCTCCATACCCAAATCTCTAAAAAAGGGGCTGCAACGGATCTGATAAAAACTGATCCAGATTTGAACACTGTCCTGACGTCAGGACGGTGGCGCTACGGCTATTGGGCCAACTCCACCAATCAGGAGGAGACAGCCACGGCCATTGCCGTTCGAAAGCACTGGAGACGCTGTAGTACATATGCCAGGCCTGTAGGTGGTGCTGTTCTCACAGAATCAGCCCTTGCACAAACAGAGCAAACATTTTTCAAATTGAGCGAAATGAGGCATGGCTAAAATGCATGATCTGTTTGGTATTGTGAAAAAAAAAAAGTATAAATATGCCTTATATAGGTATGGCCCTACACTATATTATTCGAATATAGCATGATAGGTCCACTTTAAAGTGCACCTATCATGCTATTTGTAGGCAATAGCATAGGTCTCAGATATATAAAAATATATAAAAAACATGTCTGTGAAGTGTTTTGCTCAAAATACCAAACAGATCACTCATTCTAGCCATGCCTCATATCCCTCTATTTCACTTCCTGTTTCAAAAATGCTGATTTGGGGTATAAAGCTTTAAAAAAAAAAAAAAAATTGATAAATAAAAAAGGAGGGTCTGAGCTCATGCGGGACCCGGCAGCTACTGTCTAAACTAAATACTGCCGTGATGAAACACCATATCATGGATTATCAAGGATTCTCTCTGAAACAGTATGGAGCTCAAAGGCTTTCTCTCTTGCCGGTTATACCACAAGGTGAGTTCCTTTTTATTTCCTGCTTCTTCACACACATGCTCTCCAGTACAGGTTAGCTCTGAGTGTTAGCGATGCTAATGTAAACACCGACCATATTACGTCCAAAACAGTCGGGCATTGTTTCTGATAGCAACGTTTCTGATAGGGCCGTGGGTCCACATTTCAGATATTACGTCATATCGGACGCAAATCTGGATCAGCTCCGTTGAAGCCCCGTTTTTAGAGATTTGGGTACGGAGGAAAAGAGAGAGGGTTTTATTTTCTGACGCTGCGTGAGTTCCCTGACACATCGGGGACACATTTATGTATAAAGGACATCAAAAAGTGCATTTTGCATGATAGGTCCCCTTTAACTAAAAACTAGACTAAAAGATGAAAGACATTTTAATCAACCTAGACTTGAAAAGATATTGTAAAAAAATGACAATTGACAAAGGGCTAAGACTAAGATAACATTTGATACTACTCTGGAGCAATATAAACAAGTGTATTTTAACCCATCTATCGACAAGACACCATCATTTATCCAACAACTTTACAAATCGCTATAAAAAAATGAATCTGTTTCATGATATGACACCTCTTTGGTTAGTTTCAACAGAAAGAAAACACTGATAGGTCGAGGAAAAATATTCAGATTTGGGTTATTATAACTCATTCATTAGGCTTAGAAAATATTTATTGTCATGGTATAGTAACAAACTTGTGCTTAAGGTTTGGTAACAAGTGTAATCATGCTTAGGGTTAGGGTTAGGGTTAG